CCCCCTCCGCAGCCCCGCCCCCGAGCAGGGCCCCCCCGAGAGCCTGCGGGCGCTGCGGCAGAGCTTCGCCAGCCTCTTCACCGACTGAGGGGCCACCTCCCCCGGCCCACCCGGGGAGTCCTGGCTCTGGGACCCCCGAACACGAGGGGTGCTCAGGCACCTGGGACCATGAAACCCCCCCTGGGTGGATCCCGGGAGCCTCGAGAATCCACCGGGGAACCCCAGGAACCCCTCAAATGCGCCCGGGGGTGCCCAGGTTTCTGGGACCCCCTGAACCCACCCGGAGGGGGCTCAGGCACCAAGCCCTCCCCTCCCATTTTCTGCGCACCCCCAAGTCCCCCCCCCAAGAGCCTGGGGGGGTCCGTCAGTGTGTGCTCGTGACACTGTGTGTGCGCCCCGCCCCCGCTTCGCCCCGCCCCCGCTTCGCCCCGCCCCCGCCTCGCCCCGCCCCTTTCGCTGCTGTGTTTTGGGAGGGGCAATAAAGTCCTGGAGCTGCTTTCACTGTGTCTCTGCGGGGGCGGGGGGAGCCCCTGAGGCGGGGGGGGGCTCATGGACCCTCTGGAGCTGAGGGTGGCACCTAAAGATCGTCGGGGGGCCACGCGAGTACAATGTACAGACCCCGGGCAGGGGGCTGTAGACCCCCCCAGAACTGGGTGAGATGTTGGGCCTGGGGGGCCCGTAGACCGGGGGAGGGGGGTGGAACCGGGAGCGGAGCGTAGACCCTACAGCCCCCCATTGCTGTGGGGGGGGGCTCCGTGCCCTGGAGAGTCCGGGGCCGTTATGGCCTCTGCAGAGGCGGGGGAGTCCCGACAGGCCCAGCCTGGGGAATGTCGCGACATGAGTCCCGACAAGCCCAGGGGAAAAAATGGCGGCTGGACCTCCCGTCCGCCAGGGGGCGCTCCAGACACTAGACAGCGGCACGGCGCGCGGCGATGACGTAATTCCGGCCCCGCCCCGCGCGCCGCGTCGATCGGCGATGACGTCAGGGCGGCGATGGCGGCGGCGGAGAAGACGCAGCGCTACGAGGCCTTCGTGAGCGACGTCCTGCAGCGCGACCTGCGGTCAGTGACGTCACACCCCGCCCCGGGCCCCGCCCCGGCCTCTACCCGCGCCCACTCCCCCCGCCCCGTCCCCACAGGCCGCTCGGGTCCAGCCCCCGCGGCTTGGTCACGCCCCCTTCCCGCCCCCGCGTTAGGCAATGACCACGCCTATAAACAGCACCGAGGCCACGCCCCCCGCCCCAACCCCGCCCCCTCCCGCTGACCCCACCCCCTCCGACGAGTCCCGCCCCATTGCTGCCCCGAGGCCCCGCCCCCCGCGCCGAGGCCCCGCCCTGTCCAACAGCGCCCCCCGCAGGCGCGTGCAGGAGCAGCGCGACGCCGTGTTCGAGCAGCAGGCGCAGGTGCTGCAGCTCCGCTCCGCCCTCTCCCGCCTACAGGTGGGTGGGGCCCGGGGGCGGGGCCTGGGGGCGGGGCCTGGGGGGGCGGGGCCCGGGGGGATATTGGGGGCTGTGGGAGGAGGGAGTGCAAGTTTTTGGGAAGCACTGGGGCGTTGTTTCGGGGCCCTGGGGTGGCATTGGAGGGGGTTGAAGGGTTTGAGGGGGGAGTTGGGGACCCGGCATTGAGGATCTCATGGGGGGGATTTGGGGGATATTTGGGGGTATGTGGGGTTGTTTGGGCGTGTTTGCAGGTAGTTGGGGGTATTTGGGGGTCCCTGGGGAGATTGGGGGGTTATTTGAAGGTTATTTGAAGGCATTGTATTGGGGGGATCTGGAGTATTTGAGGGTTCCTGGGGGGATTTGGGAGTCCCTGAAGTGGGATTGGAGGTCCCTGGGCGTGTTTGGGGGTGCCTGTGTTGCACTGGAGGGAATCTGGGTGATTTGGGAGTCCTGGGGAGTGTTTCAGGTTCCTGAAGGAGGGTTGGGGGTCCCTGGGGTGGCTGGGGTCCCTGTGTTGAATCAGGGGTTTTGGGGGTCCCCAGGAAGCCGCCGCCCCCCTGCGCACCCAGGTCGACCTCGGCTGCAACTTCTTCGTTACTGCAGAAGTGTGAGTTGGAGGGGATCCCAAAAACCTCCTGAGTGACCCAACCCCACCCCCAGGGTTACCATGGGATGCTTCAGGATCCCAACCTCCCCTTGGGATCTGCAGAGGAACCCAGGACTCCCCTGGGGCCCCTCTATTCCCCCTGAGACACCCTCGATCCTCAGGGACCCCAAAGCCTGGTGGGACTTCCCCAGGGACCCCAAAACCACCCTGGGAATCCCCCTGGGAGCCCACTGGGAATCTCTTGGAATTCCATAACTTGCTCTGGACAGCCCCTGTTACCCCCTTGGGCTTCCACAACCCCTGTAGCACCCTGTAAACCCTCCAAGGACCCCCATAGCCCCCCCAAACCTCCCTTTTCCCCCCAGCCCGGACCCACAGCGTGTGTTTGTGGCCCTGGGCTACGGGTTCTACGCGGAGCTGACGCTGCCCGAGGCCCTTCGGCACCTGGAGCGCCGCAGCCGCCTCCTGCAGCGGTGAGACCCCCCAGACATGGGCTGGGCACACCCCGGGACACAGCCCTAGGCCTTGGGCCCTGGACACACCCCCTGAAACACCTCTGGGCCCTGGACACACCCTCTGCATGCACCCTAGACACACCCTCTGGACACACCCTGGACACTTGCCACACCCCAGCCTTGGCCATGCCCCCAGTTAGGCCACGTCCCCCAGCAGGCTCTTGACACTCCATGCCTGGGCTGTTGGGTGGTTACAGAAGGTTCACAAACGTCCCCCCTCTACTTTGTCAAGACTCTGCCCAAAAAAGGCCATACCCCTGTCAAAGACCACGCCCTCTCAGCATGCCCCGCCTCCTGTCCCAGCTGCCTGGGGATGGGTGGGGTGGGAGGGAGCAGTGCCCATCCCAATAAGCCCCACCCCTTTCCTGGACCACGCCCCCTTCAGACCACACCCCCTTTGCCCACAGCTGTGGCCACAGGAAGCTCCTGGTGGATAAACCACGCCCCCTGCAGCCCCGCCCACCCATCCTAGGCCACGCCCCTCGCCATAAGAAGAGACCACGTGTTTGCCCTATGACCAAAAAATGGGGAGTGTGACCCCTGCCTCCTCCATGTGGGAGGCTCCACCCCCTGCTGAGGCTCCACCCCTCCCACAGGCTCAGTGACTCCCTGACCCGGGATGGGGCCAAGATCCGGGCGCACATCCGGCTGGTGCTGGAGGTAACACCCCGACCTCCTCCTTTCCCCTTGGCCCTGTCCCTCCACCTCCTGACCCCACCCCAATGCTCTGCCCCCCCAGGGCCTGCGGGAGCTCCAGGGGCTCCAGGATCCCCCTGCCACCTCCGAGCCCTGATGGACACCTGGGCCCTCCTCTCACCTGTGTATCGTGTATGTAAACCTGGAGTAAAGAGCTTTTTGTAACCCTGGAGTAACGTGTGTAAACATCGGGTAAAGGCTTGTGCCTTCAAGGAGGAACCTGGAGTAGTTTGTGAGTAAACAGTGAGCCACCTGTCAGCAGCCCCAGCAGGGTCCTCTTAGTAACCCTGGAGTAACCCTGGACTACCCAATATGCAACAGTGGCACAATCTATGAGTAACCCAGAGCAGGAGCTCAGCAGTGCTGGAGACGTTTTGAATAACCCAGGAGCAACCTCAGAGTAATCACAGTGGAACTGCAGGGCAATCCTGGAGTAACTTATGGGCAAACTTTGAGTAGCTTCAGCATAAGACCTGAGTAACCTCAGGGTACCACTGGAGTATCCTGTTATTGACACTGGACTAACCTCGGAGTAGTTGCTGGAGCCCCCATGATTAATGTTGGAGTAATCTCAAAGCACTCCTGGCCCATTAGTGACCGTGGAATAAATAACGAGTAACCCCAAAGTCTGGTCTCCTTCACCCCCCAAAAAAGGGGTGGAGCATCTTTTGGGGTGTCCCCGCCCCCTCCAGCCCAAGGGGAGGGGGAGCAGGACGAGGGGTTCCTATTGGATGTTTGGGAGTGGGGGAGGAGCCCGAACGCGGCGCGGGGGGTGAGGGGCGGCTGGTCCCGGGGTGGAGGGGGGGGGGGAGAAGGGAGCAGATGGAAACGGGGGGCGGGTGGGCGCCCGGCCGGGCGTGACGACACTGGGGCTGGTGGAGAGGGAGACCCGCGATCCGGGAGCTGCCGCAGCCCTCCCCAGCAGGGATCCCCCACGTTCCTGCCGCGGCGGGGCAGTTCAGGGGGGTCCCGGCCCCCAGGGGTCCTTCGGGGGGGCTCCAAGAACCGCCCCCGGCCCCCGAGCCCCCTCCCTCATTGCGGGGGGCGTGTCCTCATCTGGCCCCGCCCCCGCGAGACTCATAGCTGGCCCCGCCCCTCTCGCTGACGTCACCCGGCCACGCCCCGCCGCCATCTTGCGCCGCCGCCGCCGCCGCCGCTCCCGCCGCTCCCGCCCGGCCCGGCCCGGCCCGGCCCCCCCGGAGCCGCCCGCGGGGTCGGGCCCGGCCCCGCCATGGCCGAGGATTTCTGGGAGGCCCCGCGCCGCTGAGCCGGTAACGGGGGAACCCCCCAGGAACCCCCCAGGGAGCCCCCCGGGATCCCGCGGCCCGGCCCCGCCTCTGTGAAGGCAGAGGGGGGGAGGAAGGGAGGAGGCCACGCCCCCTTTGGCCACGCGCACCGGGGCGGGGGGCGCGGGGGGACCCTGGAATTGGGGGGATCTGGCAGTTTGGGGAGGGGGACTCAGGCTGGGAAGGATCCTGTTTTGCAGGGCCTCAGGTGGGTCCAGGTGTGCAGGGGGTGCCCAGGCGTGTGGGGTGGTCCAGGTATGCGGGAGGGGCCCAGGTGTGCAGGGGGGACAAAGGTGTCGCCGCCCAGGGCTCGGCCATGGACCGGATGAAGAAGATCAAGCGGCAGCTGTCGATGACGCTGCGGGGGGGCCGCGCCCCCGAGAAGGGTCTGGGGGACCCCCGCGACGGCCACGGCAGCGACAGCGGTGAGCACCGGCCCTTTAAGGGGAGCCCCGCCCCCTTTGAGGGAACCCCGCCCCTCTAAAGGGAGGCCTGGCCCTTTAAGAGGGACAGGACATGGGTTGGGGATGCCTGGCCCTTTAAGAGCTTTTTTGAGAGAATGGTGCCTGGCCCTTTAAGTCACCCCCGGCGGGGCACGGTCCCTTTAAGAGCTCTGGGGTCCCTTCTGTGCCCCCCCCTTCACCCCCTGGGTCCTTCCGCTGTCCATCTGTCCCCAGGACCCCCCCTTGTCCATCCATCTGTTCCCATATCCTGTCCCCTGCCCACCCCCCGGTGTCACCACCTGTCCCTGGCCCCCCTGCCTTGTGTCCCCGTGTCACCCCCCCAAACTTGTTCCCCAGGTCCTCCCTGTGCCCCTGTCCCGGGAGGAGGGGACACAGAATTGGGGGTCCCTGGGGAACTTGTGGGAGGGATGGAGGGACCTTTGGGGGCTTTAGGGGGGGGTTCGGGAGAGTCCTGGGGACCTTTGGGGGTCCCTTGGGGTTTGAGGGAGCCCTGGGGCTTTGGTGGGCAGGCTCTTGGGATTCAGGGAGATGGGGGTCCCTGAGTGGGGACTTTGGGAGGGCTTGGGGACACAGGGGGATCCCGGGGGGGGGGGCCCCTTGTTATTGGGGGGGGGTGAGATTTTGGGGGGGGGGCAGGGGGGGTCAGGGGGCCCTGGGGGGGTTTCGGGGGGCCCTGATGTCCCCCTTGCCCCCCAGAGGCAGGGGGGGAGGAGGGGCGAATGGGATCGGACGGGGAGAGTGACCCCCCCTCGGGGACATCCTCGGAGGAGGTGGCATCGCCTGTGCGCCTGCGCCAGCACCCGCGGCCCAGCGCCTGCGAGGTGGGACTGGGGGGACTGGAGAGCACTGGGGGGAATGGGGGCACTGGAGAGCACTGTGGGGCACTGGGGAACTCTAGGGGGACTGGGGACAATGGGGGGACTACACGGGACTGGGAGGCATTGGAAGCACTGAGGGGAGTATGCGGGACTGGGAGGCACTGGAAGCACTGGGGGGACTGGTGGCTCTGGGGGCACTGGAAGCACTGCAGGGATTGGGAAGCACTGGGAAGAATGGAGGGCACTGGGGGGACTGGAGGGCACTGGGGGGACTGGGAGGAATGGGGAGCACTGGGTAGAGTTCAGGGGAACTGGGGGGTACTGGGGACACCGGGGGGTTGGGGGGAGCCTGTGGGGGTTTTGGGGGCATCCTGGGGGGCTTTGGGGTCCCCGTGTCACCCGTGTCCCCCCAGGACATCACCAAGCGCCTGTCCCTGCCGGCCGACACCCGCCTGCCTGAGGGGGGGCTGGGGCTGCCCGGGCCCCTCAGCCGCCGCCTGCGCCGCGTCTCCCTGGTGCGTCCCAGTGCAGACCAGTACAGACTGATACTGGGGGGTAGGAACTGACAGCAACATCCCCCAGTGTGCCCCCTGGTCTCCTCGGGGGGCAGCTGATGAGCCTCCACCTGCTCTGGCATCCCTTGCTGCATCCCAGTGTGGACCAGTACAGGCCAGTATATAGAGCAGCTGATCCCAGTGTCACTTCCTGGGTCTTCCCAGCGTTTGTCAATTGTTTCGAGCCCTTTGCAGTGGCATCCATTGAATATCGGTGTGGTCCAGTGTGAATTGGTGTAAACCAGTATAGGCAGTGTAGACCAATATGAATCAGTACAGGGTGGGAGGGACCAGCATCACCCCATCCAGTACTTCCCAGTTTTCCCAGTAATCGTTTCCCTCTTCTCTGGCCAGTCGGAGATCGGTTTTGGGAAGTTGGAGACCTACGTCAAACTGGACAAACTGGGAGAGGTGAGGGGGGTGCCCAGTAGGTGGGGGGATGGGGCCACCCTGTGTTCCCCCTTGTGTCCCTGATGTCCCCACTGTCCCCATGTCCCCACTATCCTTGTGTTCTCATGTCCCCCCATATTCCTGCCTCCCCCTGTATCCCTGATGACCTCATGTCCCCCTTATGTCCCCCATGTCCCCATGCCCCCCGTGTCCCTGATGTCCCTGTGCCCCTGTCCCCAGGGCACCTACGCCACGGTGTACAAGGGCCGCAGCAAACTGACCGAGAACCTGGTGGCCCTGAAGGAGATTCGGCTGGAGCACGAGGAGGGGGCACCGTGCACGGCCATCCGTGAGGGTGAGGGGCACAGGGAGGCCTGCACGGCCATCCGGGGGGGCTGAGGGGGGTCTGCATGTCCATCCATGAAGAGGAGGCATGGGGGGGCCCTATGAGGGTTGGGGGGCATGGGGGGGCCCCCACAAAGGTGGGGGGCAGAGGAGGGTTGGGGGGAGTCTGAGGGCTGGGGAGCAGGGTGGGAGCTGTGGGACACCGTGGGGGGGATGCAGAGGTTGGGGGACACTGGGGGGGTTGGGGCTGGGTGGAAATGGGAGGGCTGGTTTGGAGGTCTGGGCGTGGTTCACACGAGGGCTGAGCCCGCTTACCCTCATGTCCCCCCC